AATGTACCGTGGTGTTTGGGGAAAACCACCATGGAAATCAAGATGTGATGGCTGACAGGGAAAAAAAGAAGAGACAGAATGTTCCCACGAGACCTAGCAGTTCCTGAGGGAGACCTGCCCTATATTTCCTGCAGAGAACAGAGACATTTCATATGCCAGGGAAGTATTTTCTGTTGGAAGACTAGGGGCCACTATAGGGCCTCACCAAGGAATTTTTCAGGAATAGCTCATCCATTGTGTGTTCAAAAGACAAGCCCCAGGAGAAACCAAGGACAATCAGCAGACCAGGGAAGCCCTATATTTAGGAGACCCAAATACCCAGCATTCCTTACATTCATTCTGGTGGTGGCCAACATTCTTGGCGCGGCTCTGGGTCCGCGCCTGCGCTGTCCGGGTGTCTGCCTGATATGGAAGCCTCCCAACCACCCTGGGAGAACCTCATAGATGCCACATCGACATCACACTTTCTTTTTCAGTCTTCTGTGAGTTTTTATGAATCAATTCCCTGGAGACAGATTGTCCATTCGGGATCAAACTTCAGGATCTGAACGCAATGAACAGCCAAACCCCACACACCTACACATAGCAGGCACTGCTCCCTCTGGAGGGTCTGACATGGGGTCCAGGCAGGTGCCTGAGTGGACTTGTCCACCTCGGCTGTGGGCACAGAGATGGTGGACAGTCCCACTTACCAAGGATGTGGCAGATCTTGACTAAACCTCGGGACATACACATCCTGGGGTGGGGTAAGAGGCCTACCTACAGGGAGTGAGAAAAGGCTGGACCAAGGTCTGAACCCCACACACTTACAGGATTCCTCGGGTCCCTGTCCCCACCTGGATTTCTCAGGAACCTCCCGCTGCTCTCCCTCCCACACCCCAGCTCACGCTGAGTCATTCTCCACTCACCAGCCCAAAGATCTTTCTGAAACATGAATGTATCTTGTCAATGCCTCCCTCCTTCACATGTCTGCCCAACCAAAATCCCTTTGATGGCTTCCCATTGCTCTCAGGATAAAGACCAAGTCCTTGAGATGGTCCAAATCCCTGCAAAGTCTGGCCTGTCATTGTATCCTCGGAGCTTAGCCCAGGCAGGAGCTTATTGAATGAATGACGTTCTAGTTGAGTGGCATCCTAATACCCGCTCCGTTTGTATTGCAGATCAAATGAGTCAACTCAAGTGAAGGTGCTCCCTAAAGCTTTAAAGCCTGCAGGGGTGGTGGGCATCCTTCTGGCTGAAGTGACAAGGGGAAGTGGATACAAGCAGAGAGTTGAGGAGCAAGGGCCGGGCAGAGGCTCGGGAGCCCCCATGTGGCGAGGCTGGGCTGGCGCTGCGGACCATCTGCCTACGTGGGAGCGGTGGGAAGCTTGGCGCCAGGGCCCTCCAGCTGTCAGGCCTGCCCTGGCTCGCTGGGCTTTGAAGGCAGCTCCCGCCCCCCCACTTCCAGCCCCTGTGTCATCGCGACGCTGGGATGCGCTTTATGTCTACCGTCAGCTTCCCTTCCTCCAGCAAAGGGAGACCTGAGTCTGGTGCCTGGTGAGCCTGGGAGGGGGGGGGGGTAGAGAGGCTGGGGCTTGACTTCTGTAAGGTTCTGTCCGGCCAGGGGAGGCAGAGGAGGAGAGGATAAATCTTCCCGAGGAGGCTGAGGGCTGTTCTCAAATCCACTACCCAGCCTCCGCTCCCCAAGGAAGGAGAGCCTCTTGTTCTAAAGGAGAGGGTCAGCTAGTGATCCCCACCCCTCCCTGGTGTGTTTTGTATCCGGCTCCATGCCCAGCCCCATCGGTCAGTTCTGGATTCTGTCTTCTGGGTTTGCTGCCCCCTGCTCCCCTCTCCTCTTTGAAGACAGGCACCCAGCTGTAGTAACTCATTTCCCACCTCTAATGCCAGCCACTGCCTGGCACGGAGTGGGATTGCAGAAGTAGTTGCAGAGGCTTTCAGCATGAGCAAATGCGCTCATTTCACACTCACAGGTACCCCCTGCCATGGATGTTTATTACTTTCATTTTACTGATGAGGAATCTGGGGCCCAGGGACATGGGCTGAGCAGGTGCAGGGGAGCTGGCTGGATGCTGAGAGCTGCTCACAGGAGATTTCCCAGACTTCACCGGCATGAAGTAGACAGTGACAGGACAGAGAACCCACTCACCCAACAGACGGGCCACCTCGCCTGCCCCCATAGAGTCCCCGTGTGTAGGAGCGGCTGTATCTGCGCCTGGCACCGGGAAGCAGTAGTGGCAGCCATAGAAGCAGCGTCTGCTGTTCTGAGCTCCTGGGAGGATTCAGGGACCCATGAGCTCCTGTCCAGGTTGCTCTGTGACAGAGCTTCCTGACCTTTCTCACAGCATGGCTCTCAAGAAGATGATAATCCAGATTAGCATGTTGAAATTAAGTGAGGGGCTGCTTTCAGCCAGAGGCAACAGCTGGGGGTTTGGGGGATACAGCAGATGCCCCATGACCCCCTGGACCTCTGAGGGGACTGAATGGGGGAGAGCTCTCTTGATACACCTGTAACCCATTCTTGGCACACCAGTGTGTCCTGCCTGCAGTGGGTAACTCTGCTCTTGGGGAGGTGTGACTGTACAACCTCTAGGCCCTCTGACCCTCTCACAGGGAGTCCCAATGACACAGCCTTGTTCCCCTCCTCACGGTCTGCCCCCTTCTCCCTAAGCTCCCATAGTCCACCAGGACCGGGGCTCACTTTTATACCCCAACTCTCCCTCTACCACTGATCTCATAGTCTCTGTCCTATCACACAGGGACAGTGGTGACGAGTATGGGCTGTGGAGCCAGATGGCCTGACTGCAGATCCTGTGTGTCCTTGGGCTAGGTGAGCTCAGCCTGACCGGCTCTGGGTGTGACCATCAGGGTGGCATCCTGGCACATCATGGTCATGTCCTGGCATCCCTCCTCCATAACAGACATGCACACACATGCCTACATTGTCACACAGTGTCACACCAATGTCAGACTGTGATGGATCCCAGTGGGGAGCCAGGGAAAACTGGGACCTGCCCCCTAGGAGCCTGGCCTAGGGGCCTGGCTTCCTCGAGCTGGCTCTCACATGTTCTTAGGTGAAGTAGTTGGGGCAGGAGCCCAGCCGAGCCACACCCGCAATCAGGGACCTGAATCAAAACAGGACCTGAGACTGGCTGCCTATTCTGCCCGACAGCTCCAGAGGAAGAGGGGACGTCCCTGATGCCCCTCTTAGAGACAAAATGGGGAAACAAAGGGAGGTGGCAGCTCTCCTGAGTTCTCTGGGCACCAGAGCAACTCAGGCATACAAAGCCACCTGCACCCTCTTCTCCCTCACAGTCCCCTAGTGACCATCCACAGAGCACCAAGAACAGTGAAGAAAAAGAGCAGGTGAACAAGCAGCCCCTGCCTACTGCCCAGTCCAGTAGGAGCCTACTGCCCAGTCCAGGCAGGACCCCCAGGAAGGATCCCCGAAGCAGGAGCGGCCACATGGAGAGACTTTGGAGGAGTAGAAGGATACCACAAGCTGCATACGGGCATGGATACCACAAGCTAGCGCTGTCAGCCATGCCCGAGTCCAGAGATGGAGAAACGAGTCCCACAACCCAACCTCGACACTGCCCTTTGCCAGTTCAGTCTTGCCAGGTCACTTCTCTTTAAAATGAAGGGAGACTCCCCCATCTGGTCCAGCTGCCTGGTCCTGAGTAAAGGTCAGGGAAAGGCAAAGAAGGGAAACAGGAAGGTTCTACCTGCAGCCAGACCTCATGCCCCAGCTGGGTTGGCCCGAAAACCAGCGTGGCCCACTGCTCTTCTGCCCACCAGAGGCGAGCTCCAGCTGATGCCCTCTCCATCCCAAGGTTAGACATGGTCTTAGGGATGGGACCTGGCTGTGCCAGCTGTCACTAGTGATCACAGGGCTGATTCAGCTGATCTGGCTGCCTAGTCAGAGTCTCCCTCACTGCTGCAGGTGCGTCCTTCCAGAAGCTTCGAGCTCTGCTGGTGGGAGAATGACCACTCCCCACCCCCCACTAGAGATGGATTCTTCTGAGGTCAGGGTGTTAGAGTAGCTGGGCTCCCTTGCCAGAGCCTCCCAGCAAGCTCTCACATCACTCCCCAGAGAGCCTTGGGTGCTGCTTTCAGGGGGAGAATGTGACTGAGCCATGGATTTGCTCCACTGCCAGGGCTGGGCAGGAGGCATGCCCTCTATGAGTGGCAAGCCCAGCCCTTCTCACAGGCCAGACATTGGGGTGAGATGTGGTCCCGTCCCACACAGCCCTGAGAAGTGTCCCATTTCAAGGTGAGGAAACTGAGGTTCCAAGAGTCCGAGTGAGTTGCCTGGGTCACACAGCTAGGAAGTGGTAGCATGGTCCACGCTGGGACATCTCCCACCCAGCCCTGGCATAAGGAGTAGTTGAGGTCCCTGTGGGAAGTCCCTGCCCTAGCTCTGCCCCAGCACCTTTTCCAGGGAAGCAGACTGCAGTTCCTCATTTTCACCACAAGGTGTCTCCACGGCCCTGCTCCACCGGCCACCCCAGGGCCCTGGCTGCCTTTGACTTGGCCCCTCAAGGGTCTGGCCTAAATCCTTCCACTCTTAGTTAGCATGTCCTCTCATTTTGTGTTCAAGGAAGACAGGCTAACTCTTGACAAATGTGAGGCTTGTCAGCACCCACACACTCCCACCAGGTTGGGTTGGGTGAGTGACCTGGAACAGAAGTCACTCCCCACATGTACCCCGTTAGTGACCTTCAAGTTCCCTACCAGCTTCATGTCCATCAGGAGACTCAGGTACCCCCAGGGCAAGGAGCTTTTGGGAAACTCGCAGTGTCCCACAGCAGGCCTTGACCGCCTGGAGACAGGCTCCTGCCCCCTGCTCCAGGGCCCCCTCCCCAGTCTGACAGAGCAATCGGTGACCTGGCTGGGGCTTCCTGGTCTCCACAACCCACATTCTCATGAATTCCCTATGAGGGCAATTAGAAGAGGCATAATTATCTCCTTTTGGAAGATTAAATGAGGGTATGTATGTTGGTGAAAAACGTTTTGTAAGCTCTTTATTACAATATAAATGTTATATGCCAAAGCGGGAAATTGAGACCCCACAAGGTTAAGCCACACAGCAAGTGAGTGGTGGCCCCAGGGGAGGAGGCCAGGCCTCCTGCTCCAAAGTAGTCATTTTCCAAAGAAATCACGCTGGACTTTGCATTGACCTCCTCTGTGTGATCCCAGTCCAGGGAGTTGAAAAGGGCAGCAGGATAGAGATCCTGGGGAGAGAGAGGAAGCCAGAGATGAAGGGGTTAAGGACTCCTCACCTCCCTGGAGTCAGGAAGGCTGAAGGCTATTAAGAGACTGGTAGGAGGGGAGGAGGCAGGGAGGGGGTCTGGCTTTGATTAGGCCCCAAGGCCATCTGGAGAATCAAACTCTGGAGATTGGTTGGTTTTATGGGGGGCAGATGGCATGAATTACAGGGGTTTTAATGGGGCAGTGGGCCTCTCCCGACAGTGCCCTTGAAATGGGTGGAGGAGGGGTCTCTTTCTAAGCAGCCTGCACCAGTCCCATCCACTCCACCTCTGCTCTGCCTTCCTGCCCACAGTATCGAGAACCACCCCCTTTCCACACACCGTCAAAACCATTCCAAGTTTTCTGGAGGATGTGCCATCATGTGCTAGAGTGAGGCCATCTGCTCCCTCTAGATGCCACATCAGGACCTGGTACCAGCTCAGAGCTACCATATGATGGGGGAACTGCCGTGTGACCCCTTGAATCATGAGCAGGCAGCTAGTTGAACAGGCCATGTCCAGTTTGCCCTAAGCTAACTGCAGGAACTTGCATGGTCCTCAGACACCCCCAATGGGAAGGAAGGAACTTGGAGATCCTTTTGACTAAATGCTTCAACCAGGGAGCAAGGCCACACATTTAACAACTCAGAGCTGGACTTGAACCCTACACTCCCAATTCTCAGACAAGATAGTATTTAATGGCCTCACCCCATCACATACCCTCTCTGGGTGTCACTTTCCTCACCTAAACAATAATACCTGTTTAGACTCCCTCTTAGCTAAATTGGAATAAAATGCTGGTCACAAAAGGTTTTGAAAAATTAAATCCACCACACAAATGAGCAGAGCATTATTGCAATGTGCTTAGCAGAGCTGGGAAGCTGAGGGAGCTTTTTAAAAGCAGGCTAACATATGGCTCTGCTCTGTGGGAGAGCCCAGCTGACACCCCCTGGTCTTCACAGTCCCTCTTCAGTCCCCCAGACTCTGTTTTGGGTAGGCAAGCAGTGCCCAGCCCAGCAAACAACATTAGGGGATGTCAACCATTCTGCCAAAGAACCTCTCTCTTCCTGCGTGCCCCAAACTGTCCCACCCTGGTGCCACATTCGCAGGTAAGGAGGTCAGGGAGGGTTGGGAGAGAGGAGGGATGGATGGGGAACACCAGTCCTCCCATCTTAAGGACACGCTCTTGACTCGTCAGAAAACAAGCTGAGTGCTATCACCATAAGGTGCGTGTCTCTGACACAGGAATTCCTCTTCTAGAAAGTTACCATGGGTTATATTTGCACAGATGGGCACATGGCTGCCTCTGGCAGCTGTTGGTTATAAATAAAGACTTAACCTAAGTGTCCATCATTAGGGGATGGGACACATAAAGCGTGGTATATCCACATTGTGGGATAGCAGGTAAGGAAGATGCCCGCGTGCCTGTAAGTGAATATTAGTGTACATCAGTGAAATCATTTTATCTTAAGAACTCTAAGATACACTGTGAAGAACAAGGCAGATGAAGGGTAGAGATAACATGTTCTTGTTTATGAACGAGAGCTAGAATGCATAGAAAGCGTAGAACATTTCTGAATGATACACAAAAATTATTAATAGTTGTTTTCAGCTTGGAAAACAGGTGGTCTAGAGCAAGAGAGATTTTTCTGAAATTTCTTTTTTTTCCAAATAATTTTTTTCTGTGTATTTCTATTTTAGCATCTGCGTATGTGATTTTGTTCAATTCAATGAATGGGGGCGGTGGGGTGGGGAGAAGCCAGACTCGAAAATGCTGGCTTTGGGCTCAGCCACATTTCTCAATCCTATCTACCTTCCAGTGCCCAAAATATTAGCCTGCTTCTTCCCACCCAGCACTGAGCCTCTCCTGCCCTCCAAGTCTGTTTCCACCACAGACACAGCCCCTGGGGACAGCTGCCTTTTGTTCTATAAGAACCAAGGTTGCCCTGTCCTGCCCACCTACAAGAAGCGCACAGGGCCTCAAATGCTGGGAATTGCCCCAGATAGGAGGCCTGTGAGAAGCCAAGGGGCTTGGTTTCCTGTTAAGTGCACAGGAGGCGTGGCAATTAAACACTGAGCTTCAAAGAGCTAGGATTTTTAAAAATTGCTTTTGGGGAATATGCAGCTTTTATTGGAGGTGTCAGACGTTAATGAGAGTTCTGGACCTTCCCAGCTGAAGATCACTCTGCCCCTCTTTTCTCTGTCCCCTCTTCTTCCAACAACCAGCTAGCCTGCCTTTGATGAATCAAGAGAGGCTGAGAGTTCATTGGCGGTGTTCCTGTCCCACTCCTCAGCCCAATTCTTCCCCCTTTGTCATAGAAGAAGGTGTGGAAGGCTTTAAGGAAGGGAGCTGAAACCCAAGAGAAGGCCTGGGGAGCCAGTTCAGACAAGCAAAAAGGCCAGCCTTGTTGACCTGCTCCTTTGGAAAGTCTTCATGGTCAATGATTAGGAATTCTGGGGCCTGGCTTTTACCAAGTGGGATGGGACCCTCAGCACCCAACTCCTCCCTTAGAAAATGATCAAACCACTAGGTATTTTGAGATCTTTAAACAGAAGGTGTGTGGGAGCTTATAGTTACCGATGTACCTTATTTGACCTCATTTTCAAATCTGGTTCATCTCCCAGCCCTGAAATGTCCCTAGTGAGCTTGGAAGGTCAGCAGCGTGTCTAAATAAAGGGTACTTTTTCCAATACAGCAGAGCAGAGGACATATTCAAAGCTATTTGTGGATTACATATGCATTCACGTATGCTTGAATAGCCAAATGACCTGTTTTACTTCTGCCTTTATTTACAACACGAAGACATTAGGAGTTAGACATCAGACATAGATGTTACATATTTAGAATAGACATTAGGAATTATTCCTGCTGGTCAGGCATTGGAACCCTTGAAAGGAATATACCATGAATTTTTAAAGGAAAGGATTCTTATCTTTCAATAAAAGATGGATGGATGGATGGATGGATGGATGGATGGATGGATGGATGGATGGATGGATGGATGGACTGACAGATGAGTAGGTGGAGAGATATGTAATATCATGATCCCTGGAAATATAGGGAAAGAGTATGACAACCAAATATCAAGCTAGTTGTTTTTGCCTAAGGTGGGGGGAGAGGACAAAATGACACTTGGACCCCTCTTCTGCTGCCAATAACCATGGTAATGCCACTTGATAGCCCTTCAGAAGCCAGTGCTCCTCCAGGCCCATTTCAGCAAATCCACTGCAGAAAAACAAGGAAAAAGTTCTGTTCTTTGCTGAAGGTCTTCTTTAGGACCCTACAATAGAGATATGCAAAGTATATTTGTTCATTTCACTCAGGGATCAGGTGGATCTTAACAGCAATACAGCATCAGGGGAAAGTGAACTCGTTATGTCCAAATTCCAATAAAGAAAGAAGACCCAACAGACATTGACTGGGAGGTGGGGTTCTGCCCCCTGCCCCATACCTCTTTGTCTCTCTCTTCAATTTCACTTCCTTTTCCCAAGTTCCCTGGACCAGTGTCCCAACTCCTTCCCTCCCTTCTTTACAACCTGAATTTGACCAGATGCTCATGGAGACTTGTCTTGGAAGCAGTTGTGAGAAAAGAGAGCAATGAGGGCTCCCCAACTCTGCCCAGGATCCACCTGGACCACCATGGCCGAGAGCCTCATTGGCCAAGAGTCACGTCTCCAGGTATGGTGAACATACATTTTTTCCCCCAGAGCCAACAGTCTAGTCTCATCAGAGGAAGGGCTTTCTCCTCTCAAGTTGTCTATGACCCTGCCCCTTATAAAACAATAACTCCAGCATTAACTTATCTGAGAAAGCATCACTCATTCCCGAGCTTGGCTTGCAGTAGAAGCGTCACCACATCAGTGGTTAAAAGCGCTCACATCTGAAGTGACTCGCATTAGATTGCTCCTAATTCATAATATCTCCTTGATGAAAGGCAAGGCCACCAGTTAGTTCATTCTGCATAAGAATTGTCGTGGAGAACAGTTCACCCAGTTGGATTGTGTTTCGGACAGGGCTATGGAGACTATGCTGTTCTTATATCTTCCCCATCGGGATGCTGGGGCTGGTGGGGAGAGGGACGGATATGCCCAAACATTCCTTATTCCCCCAACTGACATTTATGAATGACTTGACCCTTTAGAGTTTGTCGAGCATATTCATGCCCATATGTCTTCTAATCCAGCTCCTGGGAGGTTGATAGCATGGGTTCCCACGATAGACTCAAGGAAACTGAAGTTTGCAGACTTGCCCAAAGTCCTATAATAGTAAAAAGCCAGGCCAAGCCTAGACCACAGGCACCCTAACCCTCCTGCTTCCTCTATTTTCTTTAAACATTTCACATTTTCACCTAGAACCCAACCAGGGTACTAAGATTGCAGTGTGCCAGGGAGAGCTGCATAACCACTTCCCTCTTCCTGAGACAGAGTCAGGCTGATGCTTGGTGTCCTATAGCTGCAGGGGGACAAACACCAGCATGGATGATCCTCCTGGGCCTGGAAAGAAGGCCCACTGTGTCATCTAGAGGGGAGAGAGGGAAGAGGTAGGAGAAGAGAAGGAAGAATAGGAAGGAGGGAGGGAAAGAAGTTGGGAGGAGACAAACATGACAATCCTTTAAGGCATTCTGGGAAATATCTCTCTCTCTCTCTCTCTCTCTCTGCCTCCTTTTCTCTCTCTCTCTCTCTATTTCTCTCTCTCTCACACTCTCTCTCTCTCTCTCTCTCTCTCTCTCTCTCTCACACACACACACACACACACCACGCTCATCTGCATGTGGATGGAATGGAAGGAGAATAGGATTAGAGCCAGGTGGACCTGGTCAGCATTCCAGGGTTAACATTTACTGACGGAGAGTCTATAAGTAAGTTTCCAGAGCTTTTTTCTGGTCTGTTTTCTCATCCACAAAATGAAGGCATTTATGCTCATCGGAAAACTGCAAAAAAGCTCAAAAGAAATATTGAGCCAGAGGTTGGAGGAGAGAGGGAAT